AAAGGGACACTGAGCGAGTTTCTTCCTGGTGAGTCTTATAATATCTTTCCATTGAGAAAATTATCAACACTTTTCAATGCTCTGCTACTTTTTGTCTTAGTGCAGACTATAGAAGAAAGGAGTTGGCATTGACATTTCAAGAGAAATTGAAGATTGTCATAGGTGTGGCAGAAGGAGTTCGATATATGGATGTAGACTGTCCACAAGGGCCTCTTGTCCATGGTAATTTACAGCCCTACAACATTCCTCAGGGATGACTTGCATCGAAAGGTGAAAAATCTAAAATTGAGAAGTTCTTATGAGTGTTTCATCTTGGTATTCTAATTATGTCCTCTTTTTGTTAATCATATTAGATTTCTAGTTTTGGGAAAGCTACATGGCTTCATTATGAATGAGTATCGGTAATCAGCAAAGATAGGTATGTATATTATTAACAAAATAGACACCCAAAAAAATTATAAACTTTGGTCCTGGTCCTAGTTCATGCAAGTTACTTTTGGTGTTAAAAGGTGCTCTGTGAAGGGTCATATAGGCCATGAGGGAATGAAACTGATCAAAAGTGATGTTCTTTCGTTTGGAGTTCTGCTCTTGAGGCTGTTTTGTCGAAAATCAGCACCTCAGGATGACAAAACTCTGATTGAATGGGTTAGTAGACTATTCTCATTTTTAGTTTGAAGTTTACACTTTTGTTCTTCATGTTGATGAATTAGTCATCTCGCTCTTACTCAAGCCATAATTTATAATTGGCAGGCTAGACCTTTGTTGCTACAAAGAAAATTCCATGAACAGTTGGATGAAGATCAGAGATCTCAGATATGCATGGAATTTGTAGGGTTATGGCTGCTGCAGCTGAATGCACAAGGAGTAAACCAATTTCAAGACCTTGTGTGACTGAGGTGCACGGTAATTTGATTTAGCCTTCCTAGCTATCACAAACTTCATCCCCTGGAGAAATTAACTTGTTTTCTTTATCTCCTTTTTTAGGTGATTTGCATTCTAAAAGGAGAGAAGTTCTGTGCTATGCAATCAACGCAATTCAACACAAGCCAGTGAAAGGGGATAGAAACCAAAGGACATGTGGGAACAAGAATGTTGAGAATAACATTAGAAAAAAGAAGCACAGAGAAAGCCTTCCTTTGCCAACACCCTAAATAACAACTTAATGGTAATTCCTTTTCATTCACAATAAAAAATTTACAGTTCAAGTCATATGATATTTGAGTGGAGTGAGTTAAGAAATAGTCAAATAAAAATAGGCTATCTCCATTATACAATTTAAAATAAAATAAAAAAATAAAAAAATAAGGAGAAGCCTTCCTTTTCTTCCCCACTTTTATGTCCTCTAGCTATGGACTAAACAAAATGCAGAGTCTACTTTGCTTCAACTTGTATAATGCATATCTCAATTGACATACCTTATTTAGAGGATGATTGAGTCTAGGAAGTGGTTTCATATGACGTGGTTTCATATAAACTTCTTTTAGATCACCATTAAGAAAAGCATTTTTCATATCCACTTGAAATAATTTTCATCTTTGTATAGTAGTGATAGTAAGCAAACTACACACAGATGTGAGACAAGCAATTGGAGCAAATGTTTCCTCATTGTCTATTTCATACTCCTGTGTAAAACCATTAGCAACCAAGCATGTCTTGTAACACTCCACAAAATCATCGGATAGCATTTTGATCTTGTACACCCATTTATAGCCTATTAAAGACTTTTCAACATGGAGATTAACTAAATCTTATGTATAAGTGTTCTTAAGAGCCTTTAATTCGTCTTACATAGCTTAGTGCCAAAAAAAAAAAGGTTAAAAGGCCTTTGATAGGATTGAGACTCATGTAAAGAAGTAATAGTAGGAAAACAATGATAATCACAAATGTAGCTGGAAGGGTTTCTTAACCAAGTGGGATGACTTGATAGTGGGATAACAAGGTCATTTGCAGACTCAACAATATTAGATGCAACATCAATAGGTGATATAGATAAGGAAGTGGAGAAAGGCTCAAAATTATCTTATGCATTACAAACAGGCAAATCATCTTCTATAAAATTAGTTAGAGCGTATGGTGAGGCATTGTAGAACTCATTAGATGTACCTACATTAGAACCACTAGGAAATAACTCAACAAAAGGATTAGTAAAAATAAAGGTTGATGAGGGATGATACTTTGAAATCTTATAATAATGAAAACAAAGTGTGTTCTTAAAAGACAACATAACGTGAGACTTACTTGGAGTTTTTGTAACATAGAATCCCAACAACAATATTCTTTTTGTAGCTCAACAAAAGAATTAGAGCAAGCAGATCATCTTTTATAGAACTAGTTAAAGCATATGGTGAAGCTCTACATTGTAAAGCTCATCAGATATACTTGCATCAAAATCATTAGGAAATAGCTCAACAATAGGATTAATAAAAAATGGACGTTGATGAAAGGATGATACTTTGCAATCAAACTACGATGAGAATATAGCGTGTTCTAAAAAGATAACATGACGTAAAACTTAGAGTTTTTGTGATACGAATCCCAACAATGATATTCTTGCTATGTAATCCCATAATCCAAAAAACAATATAATCAAGTTTTAGGCTATTAACTTGTTGTATTCATAAGGTGAAAGAAGAACAAAACATGCACAACAAAAAAACCTTAAGAAAATCATAGGTAATAAGAATATCATGCAAACGCTCATATAAAGACTGGTTGTTGAGAACTGATGATGGAATATGATTAATGAGATAAACAGTTGTAAGAGTTGCTTCACCCCAAAATTGTTCTAGACAAGAAAATAAAATGAGCAACGCTTGAATAAAATCAAGGATGTGTTTGTGTTTGTATTTAGCTTGTCCATTTTATTCAAAAGTGTAATGGCAAGATTATTGTGTCAGTGTACTTTGTTTTTTGAGAAACAATTGAAGTTTAGTATCAAGATATTTAATAGTATTTTCAATTCTCACAACTTTTATAATTTTAAAGAACTGGGTTTTAATCGTAATAGTAAAATCAATATAAAGTTGTGGTAATTTAGAGTGATTTTCCATAAGATATATTTAAGTAAAACGAGTATGTTCATTAATAAATAATACAAAGTGCTTGGAACTCCCCATGGTGGGTGTAGGAGATAGACTTCAAACATCAAAATATATGAGATCAAAAGGAGTAGTAGAAAGAGAATGATTACTTGAAAATGATAAAGTTGATTGTTTTACAAATTGACATGATACACAATGCAAGGATTTATTTGGAATAGATGCTAATAGGCTACCAGAGATAAAATTTTCAAAGGTAAATTTTAATGATTAAATCTGTAAGTGTTGTTAAAAGTATTAAATTGGAGGATGTACCAACTATTGTCCTATATATAAACGTCATATATATAGATCTATATAATAAAATTTTTTTAAGTATAAAATCAATTAGTTTAAATGAATATTATCAATTACAATGCGAATATAATATTTTAATATAAATACTAATTTTCTAAAATAAATGTTGATATTCTAACATAGACAATGGAAAATTCTTCGGCTGCTGACAACATTGATGATGTTGATGATTGGATTGCTAAGTATTCCTCTTCATCATCTGTTGATGATACAGTGGACAATGATGATTCCGTTGACGTTGAGAATAACTTTTCTTCATAAGAGTCAATACTAGGCAATGGAAAATCTTCAGCTGCCGACAACATCGATGATGTCGATGATTGGATTGATGAATCTTCCTCTCCATCATCTGTCGATAATACAGTGGACAACGATGATTCCGTTGACGTTGAGAATGACTTTTCCTGATCGTCACTGTTGCTCATGCTTTCTGAATCATTCCAGGGGGAAGAGTCAGTACTAGGCAATAGAAATTCTTCAGCTACAGAATAATCATCGGAAAATGCAATGCTTTCTTCTTCTGTATCCGAAAGAAGAATCTCTTGGTGACCTCTCTCAGAATCATCTGATATTGCAATGCTCTCCTGTTCTGTATCCGAAAGAGGAATCTCTTGGTGACCACTCTCGGAATCCTTCTTCTCTTCATCGACATCGATTATAGTGTGCACTGCATTCTCTTCCTAAACAAATAAGCATAACACAAACATACAAGATTCCGAATCATAAATAAGAATCGGAAAGGATGATGTGCTTGAACATATGTAAGTCTTATCTAAATTATCAATTGTTTGTTATGTAATAATTTATGTAAGACAAAGGAAAGAATCAAGATTTGTTTACCGA